CAGCCGGGGGGGGGGGGGCGGTCTGTATGTGGGATCCAAACCCTCAGCGGGAGCGCCGCCGTGCTCCCAAGCGGCGCACTGTAGCAGTGCGCCACCGGGCCGGCCCAGGGAGGGGATTTGACAGAGACTGGCCCTCTCTCTCTGCTTCTCAGGGACTTCCCCATGAGATTACCCTGTCCCCTCTCCTCTCATGGCCCCATGCAGATTTATCTCAGGGTTAGTGGGTCCACCGTGGTCCACCTGACCCTGTATGTAAGAAAGGAACCTACTCCAGGGCCTCAGGTGAAAGTGTCAGGACTGGAATATGCACAGGATGGGGAGAGTAAAGAAGAAGGGGACAATGATGTTGGGGCAGGCCACATGCCACGGGCACTGAGCATCCCCACACGTTCTTGCTGGGTGTGCTAAGAATGCAGCGTCCTGACTGCTCTTTTCCTGGGCCATTTCTCAGGGTGGATGCACCCAGCAGTGAGTCAAAGTCATGCTGCATGCTATGGCATGAGGAACTAAGCCCTCCGTCTTTGACCCAGGGGTCTTGTGCCCTCTGCCAGCATCACTGAAACAGCAACAGCAACTGTGCCTTGGAAGCTTGCAAGCTAACCTGACCGCTAACTTTTAAATAGGGTGACATCCCAGATCCCAACAAAAGGCTGCTTCTGCTCCCCACTCATCAACTAGCCCTCTTGGGAAAACAGGTCATGGGCACTCACTAGCTATTAATAATTATTAGTATTATTTGGTTAACAGTCATAATCAACCAATATAACTTGTTAACCAATAAGTCATGATTAACCAATATTAGCCATAATTAACCAATATGTATACAAAGCAATTTACCGTACAATGCTGACACCAACCCTTTGAGGTAGACATCATTATCTCCATTTCATACATAAGGAAACTGAGGCTCGGTGACATTAGGCAACACCTGAGGACATTCAGACAGTATGTGGCAAAGTGGGGGCTTTGAACCTGCACCAGGAATCCAAATCCTGTGTTATCCCCTCTCTGCTTGTGAGGTGGGTGAGGACAGAGGGCAGGGAACAGTGAGATGGGCAGTGGGTAGATTAGGTGAACTTGGTTGAAATGTTTTCCCCTTTCGGAGAGTGAGGTGAAGGGAGGGTCATTCCCTGTAAAAAGCCCAGGGGCACTTCAGCGCCAGCCGTGCTTGGCCACCTCGCCACTCCTAGTCTGGCCAGCCTCTCCTCCAGACCTGAGGACGTGCTCCTGGCTCCTAGCACACTGGGACTTCATCCTTCTCTATAGCCATCTCTCTGTCTCTGGAACTTTCCTCATCTTCCTCCCTTTACTTTATGCATCCAGCTGAGTTCTCTTTCCTCCTCTTAGTTCTTTTAGGCTTTAACAATCAACCTCCAGGCATTTCCACAACGTGGAGCCAGGCAGCCTGGCTTTGACAGGTGGCTCAGCCATTCTGGCTCTGCATCCTGGATTGGTGATCTAACCCGCCAGGTGCAGGACAGAGGTGCTGGCAGGGCCTGCGTCACGTGAGGCTGTGGGACTGAATGGGCCCATGCAATGAGGACCCCAGCACAGAGCCTGCTGCCATCAGTATTATTTTCCTGCATTACTGAAACTTGCACATTGCGAAAGGACTCTGAGGGCCAGAAAAGGGAGGAGAGATGAGAGTGGGCGACTGGTCGTCAAGTCAAAGGGAAAGCGGGGAAGGAGGAGCTGAGCCCCTGGACCCTGAGAGGCACCACTCACCGCAGAACCATCATGTAGAGGGGGTTGTGAGAAATGCAGGCTACCAGGGCTGCAAAGGAGATAAGGAAGGTGGCCGGGAGCAGGAAGTGGGCGCAGGGCATGGGGCATGACCCCGACTTGGCTGATGCAGATCCGCCAGTCACACAGCTGCAGTTCAAATAGGTCTAGAAGAGGAAAGGGAGTGAAAAGGGGGAAATCTACCATTATTATTTCACCTCCACACACTTCATATGTCTGCATCAGCTCTTGCCCGAGTCCCTCAAGTGTCAATCCCTCTGCCCTCCAGGTCTCCAGAGAAGCTGAGTGAGGCTGCAGAGACCAGCAGATGGTTTCGAGCTGTCCCAGGGGTCCTGCCTCTATCACTGTTTGGGTAACAGAAACCGTCTTCACCAAAACCAGCTATCCAGCATGGGCAGGGCTCCTCCAGCAGTCACATCTGCATCTGTGTACCCAGGATCCCACTACCAGGCAAGGTCCACCCAGTTTGGAGCCAGGGGCCTGGGAAGGCTCTTCTCTGGGCCATGTCCCCCAAGCCCAGCAGCAGTGGTTTTGCGGGTTGTTTTTGCTGTTCATTGTTGATTGTAGGGGAAGGTACAAATAAGAGGAGAACGGTGGGAACTCAATGGAATCCCCTGAACTCTGCATCTGTCAGGCCTTTTCTGGAGCTTCCTGCCTGAGAGGAATTTCTTCTGTCTATAAAGGACTGTAGAGAAGGAGGACCCTGTCTCAAGTCTGCAGGTCCATGTGGCTCAGTACTGTTGGACAACTCACTTTGTCAGCCACTCCTTGTGTCTGGTGGTCTTTGCCTTCTTTCTGCAGTATCTGATGGTCCAGTCTCTGACCATTTAAGTGTCTTAGCAGATATTTAGAACTAATGAGCTCATATGCTTCCTTCTACCAGACGGTGAGAACTATGCACCCTCTTTACCTTGGCTCCTAAGAAGCTCAGAAATAAGTTATATACAATATTGCTCTTACCTCCCTCAGTCTGGATTTTTTAGGTGTAGATTTTTTCCTTATAATTTGCTATTTTTTTCCTTGATATTATGCTAATGGATTTTTATTTTGATGTACTTGTGTTGTTATTGGAAACTTGTCAAGATTATTTCTGGAAGTATATGAGTCAGAGGTGAGTAAATAAAGATAAGAAAACCACAGAAGCCACCACAAACTCTTCCAACCGGAAGGCAACGAAGAGAGCATCTTGTCCTAGCTCCTCGCCCTCCCTTTGCCTGACAGCCACACTCCTCTGTCCACCCACAAGGTGGCTGAGATGCAGCCTTGCCCTGTCCTCACAGAGAGGGGCGGCCACCGGGGGCTGGCGTTGTCCGTGCCCTCCACACAGGTTTAAGGGAATAAGGCACATTCACTCCTCGGGGCACCCTTATGGTACATGCATAGACTTCCCATTGCTCCCAGGGAAAAGAACATTTGACTCCGAAGCCTGGCCTGGCTGGCTCTGGCCAAGCTGGCTCTGGCGCCTGCCTGGTCCCTGGCCCAGCAGGGTGACGCTCTTCACTTAGTGCCAACACTAGCCTTGTCTCTCCTCTTGTAGCATGCCCAGTACATTCATGCCCTGGAGGCTTGCATTTGCTGGTCCCTTTGTCTGGAATTCTTTGCTCCCAGGTTCTGTTCTTCTAGCTGTTCAGTTCTAATGTCACCTCCTCAGGGAAGCCCCAGGCACTCTCTGTCCCATTAAATCTCTCCATGGCATGGTTAACTTTTTAAAACTATCTTGAGCATGTATTTGATAGTATGCAAACTCCATGAGAGCAGAGACCTTGTCTGATAGGTTCACCACCATGTCCTCAGCACCTGTGGCTGTGCCAGTGTTTACTTTGTTCAATAACTGGACAAATGAGTTGGTTTGCTGCTGGCTGATCCTAGACAGTCGCACTCATAGAGGGATGGATAGGACCTTGCCACAGTGAATGTGGGCTGCCTCAGTGGAAGGCTGGTGGCCAGAAGACACATGGCCTTGAACAGAAGTGCCCCAGGCTAAGGCAGGGCTCTGGATTCTGGTCCCAGATCTGCCCCTAAATAGCTGCATGACTTCAGGCCAGTCATGTGGCTGTTCCTAGGAGCTGAGGGGTTGACTCAAATGCCCTCGACTACCACTTCCAGCCCTAACCTTCCAGGCTCATGTCACAGAGGCCCTCTCTGCTTGATATATCTGGGCCAGGGCATATGGCTTTGCAACATGGCCAGGATGCAGGGCTCAGAGATGCCCATTAGTATCCGTCAGGATTAGGCTCGAAGGACTCAGCTGATGGAGTGCTTTGACTTGTTTCTGCTCTGAGCATTGTTAGGCCTCAAGAATGTGAATTTGTTGGACATTGGCCAATGTTTGATTGACTCTAGGCTGTAGACATCTGGTCATGACATCAGGGAAGGGGAGGTGGAGAGAGGCTGGGTGCGGCCCAGAGGAGGCCAGGATGCTGGTAATGAGAGTGCATGAAGCCCTGCCCATCCTGGTGCCGGCGAGCAGTCTTCGAAGGGACACACTGAGCCCCTACCGTTTGCTTGGTGCCTGCAGAGCTCACGTTAATGTCGCTGCAGCCTGCGTGGCAAGGGGAGAGGTACTCTACTCCATTGTCTCCGCAGACCGGGTGGAAGATAGAATCCGGGCACGAGCAGTCCCTGCGGCAGGCAGGCGGCTGCGGATGTGTAGAACTGGATGTGCTGTCAGCAAAACAGGAAACAAGGAATCAAACAAAGTAGGACCAAAGAAAAAACTCTATACTCCAGCCGTGCAAATTCCTGGCCTGGTTAATGAGCCTGTGCGTCTCTATTTGTCTTGGGTCATTGCCAACCTGGATCTGAATTATACCTACTGGAGCCAACGGTGAATTTGCCACTGTTCAATGGTCACAACACCTCTCCGTTTCTTCTGCGGCTTAGCCCAAACCCACCAATTACTCAGTTGGAAAGGCCTGGTCAGCAAACCCCTTGCCATAGCAGGAGTCAAGACAATCAACCAACCGGGTCCCTGATGACAGAAATGGCAGATGCAAGGGGGAAGTCACAGGCAACCGTCCCTCCTCCTCCCGCTGGGCTCAGGCTGGAGGCAGTGGCCGGGACCTCTTGAGGCAATCCAGGCTCTGGTTGGCTGCCTGTCTCCTGGGGCAATGAGGACATTGCCCAGGTCACTCTGCACCCCCTGAGCTTCAACCAAGGGGATTTCACTGGCTGATCTTACTGTCCCCCCAGCCCCCCATCTGATATTCATGATCTTCGTTGGGGAGGGCTGGGATAGGGGCTGACAAGCCACAGCACAGAGCTTCACTGAAATAATTACATTAGTGACAGTTAACATTTATGGGGCATCTCTGTGTGCCACTGTGCCCAGGAACTTCTCATGCACGGTCATCATGGTAAGTCTACAATTAATTGTTTGCCTTTTGTGGATGAGAAAACAGAAGCTCAGACAAGTAACTTCCCCCAATGAGTAAAGAGCAACAAGACTAGAATCCAGGCCTGTGTGATGACAAAGTGGTGTGCTAAACTCCCAGTGAAAGCCACCAAACGGCCCCAAGCCTTCTCGGCTTCTCACAATCCATAGCCTACAGAAGAGCATACACACCAGGGTGACTGTCCTGCCCTGGGCGACCCTCCCTTTCCTCATACCCCTTCTCTCCTTCACCCACCAAAGACAGAGGAGATTATTTCAAAGAGAAAGAGGAAAAAAAAAAAACAGGCTGAAAGGCACAGTGTCTCCAGATGTTGCAATCTCATGAGGCAAAGTCTAAAAGAAAAGGTCGTTGAGTGGTGGCACCCAGGAAACAATGAGTGTGCTCGTTGCTCAGCATCCTTCACGTCACAGGGCTCTAAAGCCATTTCTGAACGTGAAGCTGGACTTAAAATGCACGACTCATATTGCTTCATGCAAACGGACAGGTATGTTCTACCTGCCCTCCTCCTCACCTGCTCTAATTTTCCAAGTCTGCCATCACTTTCATTGATCTTCTCCAGATCTTTCAAGTCTTCTCTCATCTCTCTCTCCAGTAGCTCAGTGAATGCTCTGCAATTCTAGCCCACACAGAGCTGATGCTAACCATAGCTCATTTCTCAGTTTTTGTGGCTCACAGTCCTACAGAGTCATCCTCATACCAAACTAATTAGTTTTTGCTGCTTCCTAAAAAACAGAACCCTAACTCTGATTGCTAGTGGCCCACTAGGACCCTTTGATCTCTTCTCATAAAGGAACATACTACTCAAGACCTGATTTTCTAAGTTGCCATGTGAGAGATCAGATCAAAAGTGAACAGGGGAGAAGCAAGTGCTGGAGGCAGGAAGGAAGAGGTATAGCAGCCAGATCCAGGCTCTGGCCTTAGCAAAGGGTATCTCTGCACCCTTTATTCCCCTTACCTGGGAGGGTAGACCTCAGCCACGGCTGGGGTGGAGCATCCCATGAAGAAGAGAGGGGTACAGAGGATGGTGGAGATGGTAATGATGGTGGCAGCCACACGTGGGATGGTTTGCAGAGAGAAAACAAAACGCTTCATGAGGATCCCTCCAAATAGCATCCCCAGGGCCGCAGCGGGGAGGTTTACAGCACCTGCAGACGGAGGGAAGAGGCTGCTGTGGGTGCGCAGGCCTGACTGTGTGTGAACTGCAGACACCTAGTCAGACCACCGAGAAGGGGGTGCAGCCTCACGACGGAACTTTTGATATGTTAAACTAGAATAGTAACAGCTGGCATTAGTTGACCACTTACTGTTTGCCAGCACATCTAGAGCATTATCTTGACATAGAGGATTGCCCTGCCTGTGCAAAGAATAAAGTGGGGCCCTAGCCACCCAAGGGATGTGGGTTGAATGTGCATTTATTAAGCATCTTTCATTATCTGGGCCCTTGATGCATCCTTACTGTGACCAATGGGGTTAGCAAGGCAAGGGTGGTGACCCTGAGTTACTAGTCAGACGCTCAAGGCCAGAGGGGTGATGTCACAGTCAAGGGCCACACAGGAGGAGGTCGGGGGGTACAGGGAGTCACCCTCAAATCTCATGCCCTGACCACCTTGCCAAATCCATATGGTCAAGCTCACTTGGGGGTTGGGCCCAATAATTCCTGTGGGTACTTGGTGGAACCACATCAGTGGTTCTCAACCTCAGCTGTAGAAAACACTGACGCTGGGCCCCACCTCCAGCGGTTCTGGTTCCATCCATCTAGGGTAGGGCTGAGCATCTGTATTTTGTGAAGCTCTCCAGAGGAGCCTAAAGTGCAGCCAGGGTTGAGAATCCCTGGGCCACATACTCTCACCAAAGCAAACGGATTCAAGTCCCTGGAGAAGGAAAAAGACCCAGGAGGCATTTTGTCTAATCCCCAATTCGATCCTCCCTCTTTCCTGTTGACCCTGCTGATGTCAGGGCATTTGGGAGGCTGTCAGACTCTCAGCCCCTTGATGGAAAGGAAGGCAGACCCCCGTCTCCACCCAGTCCTGACTGGAATGATAGGAGTCCCAGAAATCTGCCAAGAACATTCTAGGTTGCCAACCAGGAAAAATGTCCTTAAAATTCTTTCTCCTCGGCAAGTCCTCCTCTGGCTCCTGTCTGCATCCTGTCTGGCCTTTGCCTGTCCCCGGATGGGTGGCCAGACGCCCAGCCCCTCCCTCGAGCAGAGACGCCCTGCTCCTGCAGTGCCCGCTGGTCTCACCGATGAGGAAGTTGGCATAGGATGCTGAGGCGCCATACTGCTTCTCCAGGAACTTGTTGAGGAATGTGGAGAGGCCAGCAATGACAGAGGAGAAGGTGCACTGGGCCAGGACCACCAGCATGAAGAGCGGGTTCATCAGGAGCCTCAGGAAGATGCGGGGAAACCCTGCAAACAGACCTCCATCAGGGGCCAGGCCCTTGGGCAGCCATCACAGGGAACCTCGAGACCGGCCACTGCCCTGCCGCCTCCTTCCAGGCAGCCCCTCTCTTCTTGGGGCAGAACCTGAAGCACCAAGATGTTTAGTGGCCAGTTTAGGAGCATGTAGCTACTCAGACTCCCACTCAACATGCCCAGGGACTAAATAAAATGAGATGTGCCTAAAAGAAACCAGGTGGCAGGCTGATAGAAATAGGACCAACACTGGCAACAGTCTCTCGTGTGAGCACCACCTCCACATGAAGGGAGGACACAGAAGAACATGGGGCCAGACCATGGAGTGCAGGCTGACTCTGCCTGAACTGGGGTCTCCTGGTACCTGCAAAGAAGCAGGCACCAGGATCCCTGGCAGAACTCCTCCTGAGCTGCATGCATACCTAGGAGATGAGCTGGTTACAGAACACCTGCTCTTCTTGTCCCTTACCACACACACGCATGGGCTGGGGCCCCCCGACCACCCCTCACCCTAAACCAGCCCACCCAGGGCTGCCGGGTCAGTTACGTTTAATGAAATGCACCAGGGAGCCTCTCGGCTTGGCCTCTTCCATCTTCCTTGCTTCGTCCACCACGGCAGGAGACTGCTGAAGGCAGCAAAGGGGGTGAGTGTTAATGGCACTGGCTTGCTGCAGCCACCCTTCCCAGGGCCCTTGGCCCCAGGGTCTCAGTGCTCAGGGCTGGGAAGCTATGAGACCCCCAGGTGTGAGTGTATGGGAGGGCATCCAGAGAATGTGCTCTTGAAGCAAACACAATCCGCATTTCAGTGAGCTGGTGCCTTGGCGGATGACCAGAATGCATCTGTGCCAATGCCACCCACCATACCTATGGGCGTATTACTTCATATCTAACTTTCCCATGTCCAATGCCAAAGGTGTCTTCCTGGATCCTGCCCCTTCTCTATCTGTCATAGCTACACTTCTCCCCACCCTCGGATTCCAGGGCTGCTCGATTCTGGGACACTCTGGTCAAGAATGCCCTGTTGCCAGCTCTCCCTTTCTGTCTCCTCTCTGGGGTCCCTGCTTCCTTCTGGGCCCACAGGTGAGTCCTGCTCTAGGCTCTGTCCTAGCTCTTTGCCTGCACTTCCTGGGCATACTGTCTCAGTGAACTTGCCTACCTCTTCTCAACTGTCAGCTCCGGCCTAGGGCCCCAGCTCTGAACCGCCACACACATGCAAGGCCCCTGCGCTCTGACATGTCAGGATCTTCTAGGGAACTCATCAATGGGATCAGGTGCTCCCATTTATGCAGCGCTTGCTCCATGCTGGGCACCGTGCCAGCACTGTCTCCTTCCTCCAGCCTCCTTCCCAGCAGCTCTCTAATTATCTCAAGGATTTTGAGGAGGAAGTGTAGGAACAAAGCAACTGGCCTAAGCTCACTCAGCTAGTTTATAAGTAGCAGAACTGCAGTCAAACCAAGTCTGCCTGACCCCCAAACCACCATGATGTGCTGCCAACCTCTGACATGCTTCCCAAGATGAGCTGAGGTCCTTCTCCCCCTGCTCCTCTTCCCACAGCTGGGCTGAGATTTCATACACCTCACTGCCAGACACCAAGCTCTATTTCTGGCTCAAAGCCTTGGTACGAACTTGATCTCCTTCTTCTGCTCCAATCCAGCTCCCTGCTGAGTCCTTTGCCACACCCCTCCGGGAACGTCCGTCCTTGCCCTGTCCCAGCTCTCCAGCAGCCATGGCCCTGGGCAGCTGCATTCCCCGTTGCTCACCAGGCCTCTGCACCAGCCTCGCAGCTCCCTGCTGAGTCCTTTGCCACACCCCTCCGGGAACGTCCGTCCTTGCCCTGTCCCAGTTCTCCAGCAGCCATGGCCCTGGGCAGCTGCATTCCCCGTTGCTCACCAGGCCTCTGCACCGGCCTCACACCAGGCCTCTGCACCAGCCTCGTCAGATCCCAACCTTCACTCTTTGCTGTCCCCAACCTCAGCCTAGCTGCCATGTTGCCACCCAACTGGCCACCCAGTCACTGCAGAGCCTCAGAGCTCCCTGGGATTAGAACAAGTTTTAGACCCATCAGCCTACCATCAAGGACCCCACCCAGACTTGTCTTCCCTATTTTCCATTCTTGTCTTTTCCTGACTCCTTTCCCCACCAGACATGACTGGAAGATGCATGGAAGGTCACCCTGCTCGACTCTCAGACCTCCCTCCCACTCTTCAGTGCTAGGAATCTACTTCTCACTCAGTCCTTCAGGTTCAGACATCAACAGGCCCTATTTAATGCAAAAATCAACTGCACTGGTCACGTACTCAGCTTTGACTGGCTCTTAACCCTTTAGCCCAATTTAGATGAACTCAGCATTTTCCAAAATACGTTCCCTGACCATCCTGATCCTTGAGATGCTAATGTGGTAAGGGAACACTGAGGAGACACCATCTTTTGGAAATTCATCAGCATCCTCACCTCTCAAAGCCTCCGAGAAGCCCTACATCATGAAACTTGTTTAGATTTCACCCAGAATTTGCTTAACCTGCTGCAACTTCTCAGCTCTGTTTATTTTCTACCCCCACTTCCCTTTCTTAAATTACTATAAGTAGAGTCATAGGCTTTCAGAATCTTACCTCCACCCCTCTGGACATTGTTCGAGGAAAGAAAAAAAAGGGGAAAGAGGTGAGAACCAAGAAGGCTGAAGAAATGAGCAGGCCTAGCCACCAGGCTCCAATCCATCGGGGATCACCCGGGCTCAAGTTAACTGTGGCTGAAGAGAAAACAAAAGATACAGATGTTCGTTGAATGAATGCATGATCTCACCTTACTGGAAATAGAACCCCCGGTCAGGGGGAGCCTTACTGACTTTGTTCCCATGATGGAGAAGAGGCAAGCCATGAGCTAGAACCTTAGTCACGACAACATTCCTCTCCAGGCCATTCCGGTCTTCCCAGAGAACCGAGGCCACTGCACATGAAGCAGAGCATCAGAAAATCCCCAGGCTGAAAGGGGGCAGTACCTTCACGTCACCTTATTTTATTCCCAGCCCTTGGCAGGAATAATGACGAAGGGAGCAGACTCCCCAAGGGCTTACCATGGGCCCAACCTAGACCACACGCTTTACATCCATTGCCCCACCAGGTTCTCCGAGGAAGTCTTCGAGGCAGGAATTACATCTACCTACCCCTAACCAATCAGAGAACCGGGGATCTGAGGAGTTAAGTCCCTTGTCCAAGGTGAAGGCCAGCAAGGGCCATTTCATTGATGAATTTCAAGCCTATGTCTTCCTGGTGCCCAAACCTGCACTTTTAACCACTGATCTCTACTGCCTCCCAAAGGAGGCCCAATGAGCCTTAGGAGCCTGAGGAAACAACCATGGACAGTGTGGGCTGCCTGGCCTCCCAAGGAGAAGCTTTCTCCTGGCAATTCTCCCACACACATCTAAAAGCCTGCCACTGTGTTTCTCTGTGCAAAGAAACTATACGGAGGGAGGGAGAAAGTGGCAGAATAGTTTCCAGTCAAACAATGACAGGTTTTTTTTGTCTTTTTTCCGTGTCCGGCAACGGATCGCAACCCTCAGTGTTGCCCCCGTACTGGACCGGGGACCGGCAACGGGATCGCAAGCCTCGGTGTTGCTCCCGCGCCTCGCTCAGCCAGTGAGCGGGAGCCGGTCTGTATGTGGGATCCGAACCCTCGGACGGGAGCGCCGCCGCGCTTCCCAAGTGGCGCAGTATCCAGTGCGCCACCGGGCCGGCCCCCATACCTGTTATCTTCTTAATATATATTAGGCTTTTTCTAATCTTTACAACTCTATTTTACTATCATTAGCCCCACGTCTACGGACCACATTTTCTTATTCTAAGATACACAGTGATTTAGTCTGTACTATTTTTGAAGAGTACAAGCTCATACCTGTTATCTTCTAAATATATATTAGGCTTTTTCTAATCTTTACAACTCTATTTTACTATCATTAGCCCCACTTTACAGATGAGGAAACTGAGGCAGAGAGGAAGTGCAGGAATGAGTCAGTGAGGTGGCAATGAGCATTTGGAGTTGGAGCTTCATCCCCTGGCCTGATGGACATGGGGCCTGCTTTCTGGAACTGGGGATGAAGTGGGTGTCCTCTGCATACACTCACCTGTGTTGACCCTGCCATAGTCCACAAAGATCTGCAGCATGACAGAGCCCAGCAGGTACCCGAAAGCCGGTCCAAATACAGAGATCGCAAATAAGATGGCTGGAAATAGAAGCAAGGGAAAAGAGGCTGAGGGGGCTTGGCAGGCCTGGGCTCCCAAGCTAAGGGGGATTCCTCAGATGTCATCCCATCTGTTCCCTGGCCCTGACAAACCCATGCCTATGGCATCTCCCACAGACAAGGGCAGAACTGCTCAAGATCCCAAGACATGCAGAACCCAGGCTATTTCTCCTTCAGCCAGCTGCCAGCAAGACCTGCTTGCCAGGAAGGAGACAGCATCCATAGCGTTTAAAAAATGCCAGCCCACGGGTGCGTGGATGGGTGAAGCTCCCTGTGCATATGATGCTGGTGGCCCCGGCAGGAGCTTACGGGGCCACAGAGCCTGTGGGTGGTCTGTCTGGTCTGGAGTATGTGCCCTGAGGATGCTCCATGAGGCTTGTTCTGAAGGAATGATCTGGGAGTTCAGATGGTCATCTGCTATCTGCTTTGCATGTGCTGTTTTGAGGCCAACCTGCCCCTCAGTGGACAGCTCAGAGAAGACATGTGTGCCCTGGCCTGTGTCTGGAGGACTGGGCAGCAGCAGCAGATACTGTTGGTTTAGGATTTACCTGTGCCTGGCATGTGGCTATGTGGTTACACACATCATCTCATGTAATCGCACAGTCACGCAGCACACAGATAATATTACCTCCATCCTGCAGACGAGGAACCTGAGACCCTGGATTCAGCCACTTGCCCAGGATTACACAGCTGGGAGGTAACAGAGTGGGTGTTCGAACTAGGTTCATCTGACCCCCAGACCTATGCACTCATTTGCTGTGTGTGGGCAAAGAGGCTCAGACCTCAATTCAGTCCCCAGGGACTCAGCGAGTGTCAAGTCAGGCGTACACGCCCCCCTCCCCGCTCCCCCAGCCCTCTTCAGGCCCATAACTCACAGATGTACAGAGGTGAGTTGTTGGGCTCTGAGAAGTCATCCACGTAGGAGATCCCAAATGGCTGAATGGGCACTGTCCCGATCCCGGCCAGTAGCTGGGCGACCACCATCAGGCCCCACATGCTGCTGGTCTCCTTCCGGGGTTCCTGGGTGGTGTTGTGGCACTTACTGGGGGGCACATCTTGCCAATGCTTCTGACAGAGCTCGGCCTGGAAACGGCTGCTGTTCCCTGCAACAAGAGCACACACCCATCACCACCACCCCAGCCTCCCGGCGTGGGAAGGGCCAACCCGGGCCAGAGGCTGTGCTGGCAAATGGGACATGGTCCTTCTGTCGGCCAGAAGGAGGGACTCTAGAAACAAAGGGGAGAAAGGTGGAGTGAGGGCTTCATGGCTCCAGGAGCAGCCCTTCTCAGGTGGGAGAGGAATCTGCCTCTCAAGGTTGTCCAGCTCTCTCCTCTATGGGCACCGGAGGGCAGCTGGGCAGAGAGAGATCAGGACCTTCAGCCCTGGGGCATGGGGTTACCCTGCTGGAAAAGGGGGACCCATGGTTAGATCCCAGGCTTGTCGGCCTCTGGCAACCCTGTGCTCAGCATGGTGCTCTGGGCCCCCAAGGTTCTCTTCAGCAGGACCGAGGCCATTCTGTCACAAAGAAGACAGTGTCACCTCCAGTTTGGGCTGTGTCCCTCTTGGGTCATGACTCTGGGAGCCCAGCTGGAGTCACACTGGAGGACCTACTACTAAAGACATTTAATGTCCTTACTACACCTGGGCAGCTCTCAAGAATCACAGAACTTCTGAAGCTGACCCTCTCGTTCAACCTCTCATCTGACAAATGCAAGAGTTGAAGATGCACCCAAAGGAGCCAGGCTGTCCCTTAGGCCCTTCTGTGAGGGTCCCAGACACCCCCAGTGTGGCCTGTGGGCATCGTGGCTCCTGTGGCGGTGGACCTCGCCAGGTGGCCTGCCACTCCCATGCCTGTTTTGAATTTGGCCCACACTAAACAATCAGCACTGTCGGCTCTCCAAGGCCTTGAGGGTTCTGACGGCTCCTTCCCATGAGATCCCTTTTGTTTCCTGCCTCATTGGAGGAAACCACTGACATCATTGACCTCGCTCCTCGGGGTTGTTCACTTAACACTAATGAGATTCAGTTTAATTGTCACTTGTGGTGCTCCCAGAGAGGGTATGACCCTGAGCTAGGTGGGCCTCAAAGCCCCACAGAGGGGAAGAATGAGAGCCGTGGACTAGATCTGCTCCTCGCACTGGACTCTGCCCAGTGCTGCTGGTCTCCGGGATGTCCCCGAAGGTGGAGCTGGGGAGGGGGTCTGCCCTGCTCACTGTCCTTTCCCCTCGCCCCAGACACACATGCCTGGTCCAGCCTGGCTCCAGTGTCACCTGTCCTCTACGATGATGACTGCACAGGACATGTTTGAAAATTGCTGGCACGGGGGTGGGGGCTCCCTTGTCAGTCAGGGAGGCCGGCCCCAGGAAGCAAAGGGGGCCAAGGTGTCGGTCTAGTCAAGGTCATCAAGACCCAGCACCAGCTGTGTGCAGGGAACGGTGCATCCAGGCCAGCGGCCAGCCCCAGACTTTGATTAGTGTCCCTCTGTATGTCCCTCTTCCCAGTCCCCACCTATTCTCCTGCCTTTCAATGCAGAATTCAATAGAGTGGTCCAACCACATGGTGAAATAATATGCAGCTTCCTAGGGTTCAGATCCCTGCACTAGCCAGCTGCCCCCCCAATACATAAACAAACAAACAAACAAATAAATACATATGCAGCCTCTTAGTAATTCTAAGAGAATATAGCCTTATTGACATGGAAAGACAGCTGTAACGTCTTGCTAGGTTCAAAAAATAACTAGTAGTTTGGAGAAGGATATGATCCCTAATTCATAAAAGTTACGTGGACTAATGGAACAAGCAGAAAAAAAACCTCTGGAAGACTGTGGTGCTCTCTGGGTGACAGTATTGTGCTGATCTTTTGTTATTTTCCTTATTGTATTTTCTTTTTTTTTTGGCAGCTGGCAAGTATGGGGATCCGAACACTTGACCTTGGTGTTATCAACACCGTACTCCAACCACCAGGGCCAGAAAACCTCTGGAAGACTGTGGTGCTCTCTGGGTGACAGTATTGTGCTGATCTTTTGTTATTTCCCTTATTGTATTTTCTTTTTTTTTTGGCAGCTGGCAAGTATGGGGATCCGAACACTTGACCTTGGTGTTATCAACACCGTACTCCAACCAACAGGGCCGACTAGCCAGGCTCTCACTGTATTTTCTAATTTTTCTATAACGAACACATGATACTTTTGAAATAAAGCAACAAAGTTTTTAAAATACAACATTTTTCATAATTAAATATATCCAAAATTTAACATCTCTCCCATTTCTTGTTCTTTCTTCCGTCCCCATTGCCCTTCTTTCTAGTCCAGGCCCTGGGCTTGCAAAGGTAAGGGGTGAATTTCTCTGCCCAGCCCCACCACCTATCACCTCCTCTCCTTGCGGGGTGTTGACACTTTCTTGGATTTATAGGCTCTACTGGAAAAACCCAAGTTCCAGTGCCAGAATTTTAAACTTCCATTTACCAAATGGGCCAGACACTGTGCCGAGGCTGTGATGTGCATCGTCTCCTGCTCATGGAGGTTACTGGCCTACATAAGTGGCTGGTGTGGGGCAGAACAGGGATTCAAACCTGCATGTGTCTCGCTTAGTCCATACTGAAGTCAAGTCTGATGGCAGCTTTGAAAAGACAGCACACATTTTGTAGGGATGGAGGAGCAAGGCTTGGGGAGAATTTCTCCATCTGTCCCTAACCACTTTCAAACACATGAGCTCTCTGACCTCTGTAGGTGGCTGGGACCTTCCACCTGCTTCCTCCCAGGTGGAGGAATCCTGGAAAGTGGCTGGCTGCCGGGGGTTCTGCTGAAATCTGGGGCAATAGGATGAAATAAACACAGTATAGGGAGTAAAAAACTGGTTCTGCCCCTAGATAGCTGAGTGATCTTGAGCAAGTTTCTAAACCTCTCTGAGCCTCAGTTTCTCTTGGGACAGAGACTATAGGTGGCTGGATAGGGAGGTCCACATGGATCATTAAAGAGCTAGAAGGCTACGGTTCCAAAAAGAGGCCCAGACATGGGAAGTCAGACCGTGCCAGTCAGTCAGCAGGCCTGGTGGCTGTGCCTGTCATCTGGAAGGAAGGCTGGTGTGGCTCAGTAATGCTGCAAGCGTCCCAATCTCAGGACAGTCACTTTAGTCTGGAAGCACAGAATTGTAAAATGCTCCTGCTGTGAAAGAGACCACAGTGGATGTCTGCCCTACCCCCCACCCCACTCAGGAATCCATCCATCAGCTCTGACCCATGTCCAACACCCAGAAATGGGTGTGGTGCTGGCAGATTCACGTGGCTCCCCAGGAGGATGTCTGGGTGGCCCTAGGCAGGCAAGGCCAAAAGAGGATGGAAGGGCTGGACTGGGAGCTTAGAGCCTGGGTTCTAGTCCTGAATCTGTGCCTCATTATGTCAGTGATCTTGACTTTGAAAGACCTCAGAGGATTCTCGGGAGAAGCCAAGCACAGCACAGGGTGAGAAGCTGCTACTGGACCAAGAGGGAAGAGTGTTAAGCTCACTGCTCGCTCCCCGCAGCCGTGTGCTCTTCTCAGGACCAAATATCATGTTCAGGCTGAGCTGGTGCCCAGCCTGGGAAGGGTTCAGGCACTGATACAAACCCCCAGACCCGGAGTGACTGACTGGCCAATGCAGTTGTGCAGTCCCCCAAACAAATTGGCATGCAAACGTCTCTGCTTGCTTCCTGTGCCAACTTTGACCAAACAGGTGCATTTCTAAAGGGCCGGCATATACTTTGAGTCCATAAATACAAAGGCTGCTGCCACGTATTTCTTTCCAAAGATTCAAACAAATTTAGGGTACTTTTTGTATGAAGAAATGAAGAAAGTCTGAGTTCCCTAAAACCTTGGGCTGTTGTCACTCACAAGTATACTTGGAGGAGCCATCCCTCTCGTGTGACAGCGGCTCTCAGTGGCATCTTGTCTCATAGGCTATGGGATGGCGGAGCCAGGTCTATGTTATATGCCAGCACGGTTTAAAGCAAATGACAATACTGAGAAAGAGGTGCCAAGAATTGGCTACCGTCCCCAGCTCAGCCGCTGAAGGACCAAGTGCAGGTCTGAGCAGCCGTCCCCTTAGCTGCAGAGTGGACGATGCTTGCTTCACAGGGGTAAAAGAAGAATGCTGAGTCCTGAAAAGCCCTGGACCGAGTTCTACCAAAATCACAATGAAGCATCAGTTTATGCCCATCAGGATGGCTATTATCAAAATACAAAAAACAAAGAGTGTCGGCAAGGGTGTGGAGAAACCAGAACCCTTGTGCACGGCTGCTGGGAATGTGAGATGGTGCAGCCGCTGTGGAGAACAGAATGGTGGCTCCTCGAAAATGAAAATAAAATTACCATACGACCCAGCAATTCCACCTCTATATACATACCCCAAACAATTGAAAGCGGGGACCTGAACAGATATTTGTACTCTCATATTCACAGCACCATTATTCATGATAGTCAAAAGGCAGAAACAACCCAAGTATCTATTGACAGATGAATGGGTGAGCAAAATGTGGTCTATACAATGGAATGTTGTTAAAAAGGAAGAGAATTCTGACACGTGCTACAACATGGATGAGCCTTGAGGACATTATGCGACAAATACTACACGATTCCAGTGCATGAGGTATCTGAAGTAGTGGAATTCATAGAAACAGAAAGTAGAATGGTGGTTGCCAGGGGCTGGGGGAGAAGGGAATGAAGGGTGACTGTTTAATGGATACAGTGTTGCAGTTTGGGAAGATGAAAAAGTTCTGGAAATGGATGAAGGGGATATTTGTACAACATTGTGAATGCACTTGATGCCACTGAACTATACACTTAAAAATGGTTAAATGGTAAGTTTTATGTCATGTATATCTTACCAACATTTAAAATAAATATTGCCTGCTACATGCTAAGCTGGCACACGGTGCCAGGAAGCATATGGGAGAGGCACCAAACCCAGTGTTGTGGGGGAGAGGGGCTGGAAGAAGATTCCCAGGGAAAGTGGCCTCTGAACTGAGAGGAATTGACAGTAGACAGGAGATAAACGCGGGGAGGGGCAGGTGGGGAGGAGAGGCACAGCAGGTGCAGGGGCTCACAGGCGGGGGTGGCACTCGCCACCGCA